GACGCGGGTGAAAATGACACCCTCATCTTGAACAATGTAAACTTCACCATATTTTTAGCTTACAAAGGTGCGGGGTACCGACTTTACGCACCCGCGATGTGGGAAGGTGGTCTAGGTTCGAAGGTTCCGCCGCGGGGGCAGGAACTGCTTCACGGAATTCATCGCCGACTAGCGCAAATTCCACCTCGGTATGCGGCCTCCTCCACGACCCTGTCGGCATTGTGGGAAATCCTAGTAGGATCGATTTGGAATCCGCTCGAGGAGGGCTCCGGAATGGCGTCCACGGCGTTGCCCCGAAGGCGCTGTGAGAAATCTTCGGCCCCTCATGCGCTCGCCTATACGAGGGACCCCCCGCGACGGTCCCGCGGAATCGCGATTCACGAGTAGGTTATCGAAAATGAATCTGAAAATACCACACACGGTGTTCTTCGTGACGTTAGCTCGTTACACCGGTTACATAAAATCCGGGAGGCCTGCAACGGCCGTAGGGATTTTAATTGCGTAATTTCGTTATCGGCGCGTTATTCCTTTTATTTCGTTCCTCGGGCACTGTTCATGGTCTCGCGGAGACGAGTCGGAGAGCTCTCGAGCGGCTCGGCGTCGTCGAAAGGCGAGAAAAAGTAATCGAGAGGCCCAATTCCCACGACGATACGGCGAGAGTGCGCTTCCACGGTTACAATGGAACGCGGAATGCAGCAGCGGGAAGTTGCACTCGTACGTGTGCGCTTGCACGTAGAGTGCACCGCGGTAGGAAAAGGCCAGTCTCTACGTGGGATCTCTCTTTCTCTCTTCGTCCGCCTTTGGAGGAAGAAGAGAGTGGAGAATCGTTACCGCGCCTCCCCTTCCCTTCGACCGCTTTTTTGTCGTCGCGAGATTTCCTAGCCATCGATACGCGCCGTATCGACAGGAATCCATTACTAATGCCGATCGCTCTGCGTCGGGCCGGAATTCTCGGTTTTGCCGCACTTTCGCCTCGGGACGTGCGTGCATCGTTAATTAGCTAGGGCGAGAGATCCTCGGGGAGCGATTCCCCGATATCTCGAATCATCTCCCGCGTTTTGGCACCGACTCGTTTCCGGCTCGGTACTCGACGCGTTAAGGGGCCTTGATGCTGACCAGGTCGGTAACACCGATACCTAATTGATTGGCATCAATTTATAACGCCCTTGGAAACTAAACTGCAAACGACCGGAACGTATAAATCGAATTGCGAGACCAAAATTGGAAGATCCAGGGCGCAGCGCTTTTGTTTTTTAATCCTCCCTCTAATGCCGAACAGATACCGGTTCGTGAATATATAACACCGTCCATGGAACTGAATTTTTTTTTTTAACTTTTCTGTAAACGTTTTTAATTTTGTGTAGAAACATTTAGTTTGACAGGTGTTGGGATCTTTTTTTTTAGAGCCTTTACGTTTACGCGATAAAATGTGAAACGATTCGGTACTCCCAGTTTAGAGAAAAGATTCATAAATTATCGATCTTCGGGCACCACGTGTCACCTTAATAATCGGCAACGTGTCGCGTGCAATGCTTCGGTTTAAGTGCCGTGCAAGGAGACACACCGAGTTCTGAATTCACCGATGCACGTTGCATTCGTGGAGGTGTAGCAACATTGTATTCGACGCTTCCCAGAGGTCGACCTTAAAGATATCCCGTATACCGAACCTGGGCATCGTTTGCACGATGCACCGCGGCTTTCTTCGACCTTCAGTGGCGTTTCCAGGGGGGCAGAAGTGGTGCGAGGAGGAGCGAAACGCGCAAAAGGGAAGAGCGGAAAGGAGGACTGGGAAAAGAGAGACAAAAGGGGAGGGACATTTGAGCGGGTAACGGTGACTGACATTCTGGCGCATCGAGAAAGGTTTACGAGCGGATGGTTATCGTCGAATTGAGTCATTTCGCGCGATTTTATTTGCGGACTCGCTAAGTCGCGAATCTCGGGCGACGCGGTTTACGGCCGACCCTCGTTTTTCGACTTCGACGGACGCGAGGGTTCCGTAGAAACGAGCCTCGCGACCCTAGGGAAGGCGATCGACGTTGAGGCAGGTCGCGGAGGGTTTACTTACCTCCGGGGAGAGAATGTCTTTGATTAATCGAGCCGACGCGGTATGTCCCGCCGCCAGGGTGAGTCACAGAGAAAAATGACTTTCCCAAGTCGGCGACGTGTATCGGCCGACCCCGATCTAAAATGAAATCTCTATTTCATAAACGAAGGCAACTAGTGAGAGAGAGCTAGTCACCCCTGAGACATCTTGGCAAACGCTTCGCGAGCCTCGCGGAGCCTCTAGCACCTGTCGAATGCCCACGCGGGGAGCGAACAAATTTAACCTAACCCACAATCGACTTTTCCTCGGCTCTTCGATTCGCTCGACTTAGGGCCTTGTTCGATCCTCGATTTCTCGAAATTCCCGAATTCTCGCGTAATTTTTATTTCCCGGGGTTTGAACTTCCCGAGTGATTCGTATCTCTTTTCTCGAGTCGAGGCCGCTCTTCGCTCCTCGAGAAAACGACCTCGAGGGGCTCGCCTTTAACGAGGAGCGTTTCTGGGCGCGGCACCGTGGAGTATCGCCAAAAAGAGTTGGCTCGGAGCTTTGGTAGCCCGACGGCATCGATCTATATTTACGGGGAGAACGACCGATGGAATATGCGATCGATCGGTCGGTCGGTTTGCCAAGTGCTCTCTGGCCAAGCTCTGGTACGCGGATCGGACGAGGACCCGAGGAGTGCCAGCTCGGCCCGAGCCGTTCCTCTCTCGACTCTGCCTCGTCTACCTCGAGCCGTGCAACCCCCGGTGCACTCTTGCAACCGCATTTCCGCCTGGGCCGAGGGCATCGTCCCCGAAGTCGCGTCCCCTGCCAAATTCCACCTGAGGAAAAGGCTAGTTCCGCGACGTCGCGAGATAAACGGCTCGACGTCGTTTCGTTGCACGACTCTCCGTTGCGTCGATTCCGCGGCGTTGGCGGTTTCGTCAAAGGAGTAAACACAGGAGACGTTTCGCCACCGCCGACTCGCGGTGAAGTAACTCGACGCCGAATTATTTTTCTTTTTTCTTCTTTCGTCACCGAACATTCGAGGGATTCGTTAGTTAAGGGGCGATCGATCGGATGGTCGAACGGCGTGCTCGTTGGATCGATGACGGCATCGAATCGAACCTCGCTTCGCAGCGGTCGATGGGATCTATTCGTCGAGGTGCAAAGGCTCGATGGAAGGAATCCGAGGCAAGGCCCACCTCGTAAAACACTCGTGCTCAGAGAAATGCAATGAAAAGCTCCGAGCGAAGCCGCGCCTCCGCAAGAAGGACGAGTGACGTCACCGGCGACCTTCTTCTGGCTGGTGTCCAATGCACCTGCAGCACTTTCCATTATCGGCGCGTCCCTCTCTTTGGGATCGTTGCGAGCGGGGCCGATCGTTCGGGTGTCCCCTTATCGCGAAGAAGCGGCGCAAAGAAGGCGGTCCCTCCCCGCCGGGGGATAATTGAGATATCTCCGAGGCGCTCGATTTTATGCCGGAGACATGCCTCGCGAATTCCTCGATCGGCGAGAGGAAGGCACGTATCTCGAGGATCGGATCGTGCGAAACCGATTTCCCTGCCCGATATGCCCGATCCTCCTAATCTCTCGCCTTTCTAATTTTCCTCCATCTCGAGGAAACCGCCTGGAGAGAAATTGTCCCGTCTTACGCGGGGAAAACGCTTCCGCTCGTCGTGCCGGAGAAACGGCGATGTCCTGTCTCGGTATGCGAATCCTTTCGGTGTAATACGGTCGCTCCTCTAGTAAGTGGCTCTTAAGTAACGGATTATCATACGCGATTGTTATCCAGAGGGGTTTCCACCCCCTTTCTCATCGAGGCTGTCCCGTATTAGATGCGGTTACATGGTAATCGCTGCATAAACGGACCATTGTCCACGCACCATTTAACGTGAGCACATGTATGAGCCTCGAGAAAGCCGCGTCGGGGATCCACGCGAACCGTTGCCCGAGATGAGCGATCTATGACGCCGATTATGCGCTCTATGCTCGATCGTCAATCAATATCGTCGGTCGCGGTACACCGCGATCCGATCGTCGCAGCTGTCGGGATCTTCTAGGTCGAGTCGTCGGTATCGACATTCTCCCCATAAATTTTCATATATCGACGATATTTGCCTTTTTTTTTTTTTGCGCAACTGATCTTTTACGCGAAACTTCTTGCGGTAATAGGTACCCGCAAATCCCACGAAAGGGACGCGATTCGGAAATTGAGAGGCTTATTCTTTTTATTGTAAATTACTGTTTACATTCATTTTTGGGTGAATTTAATGACTGGGGACCTGGAATCCAGTTTTGGGCACAAACAAAATTATTAGGCTTATTGGAATGTTTCTGTGATGTAGACGTTTGTGCCATGTTGCGTTTTGTGTAATTTTTTTTACAAAAACCAGAGCTGTTAAAAAAAATAAACAAATTTCGAAAATGACCATTTTAACGTTTTTGAGGTTCTGGGAGGTTCTGAATTGTCTTAACGTCAGAGGACCTACTAGATTCGAAAAATACAAATTTCCATGATTTCGGAATTTGTTAACTTTTTGAACAGCTCTAGTTTTTGTGAAAAAAAAAATGCCACAAGCAAAACTCAATATGACACAAACGTCTATATCACAGAAATATTCCAACGAGCCTGTTAATTTTGTTTGTGTCTCAAACTGGATTCCAGGTTTGTGTCCGAATTTTATTTTTACGGTTCATTTTTATGTTCATCTTTGGGTGAATCGAGACTGCCGTAAACGTTTTCGTTAGCGTTAATACGTTATTTTCTCGGTTAATTGACATTTGAAGGGAAGTGACGGTAACATGAATTAAGAATAATGATCGTGTTCAAAACAATGAGTACCGAGCGCGCAAGGGTAGTGATGATATTGATATACAATGGACGATATTTAATAATTCTCTTTATCGTGTAAGTTTCACGCGCATGTCGACACACACCGATTTATTTATTTAACTTAGTTTCTTTCTGTTGCAGGTACGTCGGCAAATGTGTGCGTGCATACCGAATTGGGTATATCTAATGGCGGCTCTGAAGGTGCAGCGGGGTAAGTCAACCTCAGTGAGCTTTTAAAAATCCGCGTAAGAGGCCAAAAGTTGAAGGAGCTAGGGGAATAATTAAAGCTCCCTCTTTCTCGGGGATTCCTCGCGGGGTTAAGCCGGGGTCAGGAAATTCGACTTGCACCGTCGCGGCGTTAATTATTCCCCCCGTGGAACCGGACGAAACGCCTTAACGGAGATTACTGCCCGGATAAAGTTAACGGGGCGTTAATTACCCGGTAATGGGAAGCGTAGGGAGTACGCGAGTCCGGGGATTAAGTGTCGTGGTGATAATTCTGCGTAAGCCGGTGGAAACTTGCCCCGGGGACGATATTTAGATTCTCGAAGGAGGAGTGCATCCCCGGGGTCGACTTCGTAAATCCACGACCTCTCTCGATCCTCGGTTCCCGATCCTCGATCTGCGATCCCCGGTCCTAGATCCTCGATCCATGACCGGGAATCGAGCTATTCTCTCCCCCTTTACCGCGATAATGGAAGGAGCTGTGCTAACGACGGCCCGTCAACCGTGACTGTACCACGCCGGATATCCATCTGAAATGGTTGCAAGAAGAAGAAAAAAAAAACATGCATTTCGGTCCGGCACCTGCAGGTTGCTCTAAACTGCAGGAGCCGATGCGTAGAAAGTCGAGCCGGCTCCTCGCTCGTTAGCAAACCCATTGAAATCGAGGACGGAGCGTCGATCGAGAAGGCCTCTTCCCCGATGAAAAATCGTTACTACGAGGGACTCTCATCGCCGTGGGTCTTCTCGGCCGTTAAGGCGTTAATATTAAAGCCACGTACCGACGTCGTAAGTTGCATCTTAATCGCTCATCCTGAGCATCCCGTATTACCCGTGGCTGGTGGAAAAGCGCGCGCTTTCTACGAGTTTCCCACGTTTTCTGCATATAAGTACAATTTCGAAACGTCGATCTCTCGAGGCTCGTCGGCGACTCTCCCATCGACGTCCCCGACATCCTTCGACATTCTTCGACGAGACCGGTGAGGACCGAGTACTCGCTCGTCTATCCTCGTTCTCTTTGACGGGCACGTTGATCGGCGTTAACGCGCACTTTACGCCATGCGATCCGGCGCCTCGCTACTTTCCTCTGGGTAGCAATCGAAACGACGTACGCTCTCGAATTATCGGCATGGCAGCGAAATTCACGAGGTCTCCTCCTCCGATCGATCGAGGGCCTCGCCTTAAGGGGTTACACCACTTTGACCCACCAAAAAATTACGGTTTTTCAAGAATTTTTTTTTCAGAATTAAAACGTTTTTATCCAAATTAAAGTACAGTAAGGTATTATGCTACTATTATACAACAAAATATTTTTTTTATATTGTTTTTTATTTACAAAATTGGCGACTTGAAAAACGATTTACCGGAGCACTGCAAAAATCGATGATCATGCGGTGGGCACGATAACTCAATCCAGGTTTAAGCTAGATCAATGAACGAAAAAGAATTAGTTTCTGTAGCCCAAAAGCTAACGAAATACGTAGCCGTTTTCAAAAATATACATTTTTCACAAAATGGCATCGATTTGAATGGAAGGATACGTATTTTGCTCTAAATTTCGTTAATTAATGTTGCATAAAAAACCCGAATATCAATACATTGAAAACACCATACGTATTTCGCTAGAAAAACATCACGAATAAAATAAAAAAAGAATGAAGACGATTGATTGAAAATTGGCGGAGCTAGAGTGCCCACCGATTTTCAAAATGCAGTTTTAAGAAAAACACGTTTAAAATATAAACGCGTCAAATAAGCGCGTACAATTTTTTTTTATTCTTTGAAAATTTCAAAGTGGTATAACCCTTTAATATTTTCTCTTTGTTTTTTGTTTTTTTCCTTTCCTTCTCCAGTCTTATAGTTTCGACTTCGATCGCTCGCTGCCGTTATTCAATACGAAGTGAACTACCTCTATTGCCTTCTGCCGCGTGCATTCGCTCGCACGGATGTTTTCATTCCCTAACCCTGCGTTACACATCCCTCGATATTCCGATACTTTGACGAAACCATATTATTTTCATTTTTGCATTTTTCGATATCTCACATCCTTTCACCCTCATACATTTTGCATTCGGTAATCATGCGTTTCATTGTAAACGCACGCATGTATACCGTGCGCATTGTTGGATCGCGTATCGCGACGTCGTTACCGCGGTACTCCTAGGTGGACTATTCCGAGACACGTTAACGAATTCGTTCCCGTTCTCGTCTCACTTTTCCATCGGACATCCGAATTTCCCTCGTGGCCGCGCACCTGCGCAGGCGCACTTTCGCGAACGCGCATCGGCTGCCTCCCTCTTGCCCTCTTGTCGAGAGTCGAGTTCTCGATCGACAGGAACCGGGTCGTGCCACCTCGGGGCTCGCTCGCGCGAGTTCGCACGAGTCGCGCGTTCCGCGGGTCGTGTGTATCTACAATTTAAACGCTTAACCCGCGACCTCGACCGAGGCGGCCCCCGAGAACGTGAGAATTAACGAGGCTCGGCGAGCACGTACGGCCCGACATCGACGCGTTGCCGATGCGCGCCAAGCCGAGCCGAACCCCGAGCCGACATACGGGGGCGCCGACTCGTCCTCGACGATGCACCGAGCTGGGGAAAGTTTTCCCCCGAAGGCCGTAAACCCTGGACTTGAGGTCGATTTACGCGCGTCGGCTCGCCGGCGTGAAACGCGATCCAGGAATTTGAATCGCAAGGGCCCTCTTTACCTTTTCGATGGTTCCTTTTTTAGTGTTATTTTAGTGCTATAACCTCGATTTTAGCGCTCCACCCCTTATACCGAAAATCGGTGGGGGTGCTGAGTGAACGTTCACTCAGCACCCCCACAGTGCATGCTACGTTAAGGGGAAGATTCACGGAAAAGAACGGGTATGCGGCATGTTGGTGCTATTTTAGTGGTCTAGAAATACCCAAGAACCAGATCCGAAACATCACCCTTTTCACCCCAAAACTACCCCCGATCGTATAAGCGCCAAGAGAGAAAAGGTAGAAGTAATAACATTTTGCACATTCTGTTTTCGAATTATAATCGAGGTTGTTGCACTGAAATAGCACTAAGAAAGCACTAAATTCTTCAATAGGTTTCATTTCATATTTTCGATGTGGGGGTGCCTACTGTACATACATGAGTTCGGCGGAAGCGCGAGGTCGCGATGCCGACGGCGGGCCGGGAACGTGCGGAAGGAAACCCCGGCCTCGAGATTTTCACGCAGGTGTACCGCTATCCTTATTGAAGCCGACGTTTATGGGTCCCCTGACGCCCCCGTAACGCGGCCGCTTAAGTGCATCGGTATCGATAATTGAAACATCCGTTGCGGATTTAACGTCCCGAAAGGTCTGACTTCTCGCCGGTTTCCGCGAGCAGCCCCGATAAATATCCCGCACTCGTGCAATTAACGTTATCGAGGGTACCGCGCGTAGACGTCGATGCGTCGTTAATTTGCTAAAGCACCCGCAGTCGTAATACGCCCGACCCCAGAACCGATAAAGTGTGATCTAAGATCGCGATCAACCGGACCAATTCGGTCTTCGAGGAGAAACACGGGAACACGTGACTACGCGTGTGTAGAAAAGGCGTACAAAAGAATTCGTGTTTGGTTAGATCGAAATATTGGGTCTTTCCAACGAATCGCCCGAGTCGAAATCGTAGCCTTTCCATAAGCCCAAGTAAGACTTCTTTTGGTCCTGTTTCACTTTTTTACATCCTCTCCATTCAATTTTTATTCGATTAGCCTTTTCCTACTTTATTCGAACGAAGTCCTACTTTTAAGGGGATGTGAAAGTGGCATCCGAAAGCTCAATTGATGATAAAACTTTTCATAGAACTGGGTGTCTCAAATAGTTTCATACTTTAAAACGTGAATATGGAGACCCTAAGGTAGGTCCTGAAACTCGGGAAATTTCATTTTATATAAACTATTTTTAACAAACAAATTTGAAAAGAATTGAAATTTCATGAGTTTCAGGACCTTCCTTACAGTCTCCCTGTTCACGTTGTATAGCTTCAAACTGTTCGGTAAATCGAGTTGGGAGAAAAGTTTTATAAACAAAACCTCTTCGATGCCACTTTCACATCACCTTAAGTATACGAGTGTCAAATCTGCCGCCTCGAAGGTTTCAAGTATGTCCTTAAAGTATGAAAGTATATCGCGTTAGGATCCTTTAGAAACAGTTTGGAGGTCCTAAGTGGGAATTTCGGCTCCCAAGGAAAGGTCTTCCCTCTGTCGCGATCGAACCAACTCGGCGGTGTCTCGTCAACGCGCCCGAATTACAGGATTCGGGACGGTTACGTAAGTCGAGCAGGTTGCGGAGAGGCCCCCGACTTGCATGGCCGTAGGTGCGGCATACCTGGTTGCAGCGGTCGCTTCATGCGCGACAGACTTTCACCGCGCAGTACCGTCCCGGCCCTCCCCTCGAGCGGTGGATACGCGCGCGCGTTACCTCGGCCCCGTATAGTATTTCCGTTCATGGATACCTGCCTTGACGTATGATGTTACCGGTTCCCTTTTCGCGGCGCCAACTCTCCGTCCGTGCTTTTCAATCCTGAAATGAAATAGGAGGATTTCCGTCCCTCGGGCTGGATTTCTATTCCGTCAGCGGGGATAATGCGCTCTCTCCTCTCTTCCCTCGGGCGGGCCCCGATCTATGCACGGGACTGCTTTTGTCCACCTTGCTCGATTTGCCCGTTTCCGGCTCGAGGGCGAAAATATACGGTTGAGATTTACAGGGTTTGGCCGGGTATAGACATCGGACCGACCCGTTTCCGATAAGGCGGGGGATTTAAATATGTATATAAAGCTGGAATTGCCACTTTAACACAATTCAATAAAATTTGTTGCAAAATTTATTGCTAATTTATTGCTATTTTATTGCACAAGAAAAACGTTTTTTGCTCTTATACTTTTCCGAAAAATGGCGGCGATGTCAGCTTTGTATAAAGCTAGCACTGTCACAATAAAAAACAATTATTAAGTAAATGTTCATCGATGAATTA